TCACTTTTGTAGGTTAAAACATCTCTTTGATTTGTCAAAGAAACAAAATATTTTGTTTCTAAAATGAAGTCCTTTCCTTAAAAAAAAACGCAAAAACACTTGTAAGGCTTGATCCTGTATAAATAAGTAGAGGTAACACAAGGGAGACACAGCCTCCTTGGATTAGGAGGAGTCTGCTGGCCTCCAGCAGGACTTCTTCACAAGGTAGGAATACTTCCACTCCAGCTATCACTACTAATAAAGAAAGACAGAACCCACATTTCACCAAATCTGCAGCCTGATAATGAGCTACCGCTAAATATCAGACAGAGGAAGGAGCTTTGTAGCAGGTGATTCAGTGTCTTGAGAGTTCCATACAGCAGTAACTCAGATCTTTACATTTACACAACAGAATTTAACAAAACAGGAGTTTATGTCAGTAATTCACTTGCATACTGAAGATTTCCTTGAAATCCCTCTCTCTTCTGGTCACATCCAGCCCTCTGCTTCAATGTCTGCAGAAAGAAATGTGGCTATTGCCACAACAGCTTGTGGCTCACTTTTCAAAGCAGTCTGCACAAATTCAGTACTGCCTTTATCATAGCAAACTCATAAAACTATGATGGGGTAAATCAGCAGTAGGTGTGTTGAAAAAAATGCAAATATCACGTGTTGCGCATTTATATTGCTACTTTTTTTTTTTCTCACAGGCAAGCGACTGCATGGGAATGAAACTTAACATTAATATAACTTTTTGCAACATCAAGGGGTTTTTTTAGTTTGGGACTGCTGCCTCAAATTACAGTGAATGGATTAGACTAATGAATGAAGGACAAGTTGATTTTCTGTGCAGCACAGAAAATACGGGTAACAGTGGAATGGTATTTTGCAGAACAGAAAAATGCAGTGACACATACATCACAAAGTGATACAATGTTTACTACTTGTTCATCATAAATCAGAAATTCATGTAATCTGGCACCATAATTACATGCCTTTAGAAAGGTATGATACTGTGGCAATTTAGACACTAATTTAAGTGGTAAGAGCCCTGGCAACCTCTATAATTTTAAAGCATCAGGTCAACAAAAGCAAAAATGGCAAAAAATTATTTCAAGAACGGTTTTGAAAAACCTCAGTGGAATAGCTGTGAATCCAGATTTCATTTAATACAAACCACTAAAGCCTGAGGAGAAAGGGAGTTCCTTAAGATGGCCCCGGTTTTGGCATGGTGCTTGGTGTTCAAACAAGACAATTGGAATATGTGTTTTCCTGTACTAAAAACTAAATTGGCATAAATTTTGAAGACAGAAGGAAAACAGACACCACATTCAGGGTCTGTATCTCAATGGCTGGGATAATGGAATTAGACAAGGGATCATGGTTTGAATCAATCTTTACAGTACACGGCAAACTGTGCCTGTGCATGAACAAATAAAGCAGAGTTAATTAAAAAAACCTGATTGCTGAATCTTGGATATTTTGTTCTTCCTTTTATATGTATTTATCATTTGAAAGATTCCTTTGTGCCATGTAATGTGCATGTAGATGGAGGAGGAAAGCAAGAAATCTTAATTTTCTGTGGTAAAACAACTCTAAAAGTATGTTTGTTTAAAAAGCTATTTTCACTATTGCTAAGATTACTAACTATGGTAAGGTGCCTTGGATTTATATGAGGAACACAGCAGTGGAATCAGCAATATTTCCAAAAGTATATAATTCTTTTTAGAGATGCTCAACACAACTCCACTTCAAGAACCACTGGATTACAAACTTGAGTCTTCACTATATTTTGACATTCAAAGGTACTAAGGACAAGCCTCCTAAGAGGATCCAGTGTCACACTTGCTCACAGATTTCGTTGCTAAAAGTTTTTAAAAACAAGTGATAAACTAAAAATATCACTACAGAGCATTCAATGTGTTTCATGTAGTTTGAAAGTAGAGGAAAAGGCCAAAAGTTCTTAAGAAATCATAAATTTTCTATTAAGTTCTCTCTAAAGTTAGCTACTTAATTTAGAAGCACTGAACAAATAACTGAATTACATAAAGACACCTAGCAGATAGAAGTCATAAAGAATAAAAATAAAACACAAAGTCATAAAAACCATAAAACCCATAAGATTCAAGGAAATGTCATGAAACTGTGTCAGGGGAGATTTAGATTGGATATTAGCAAAAGTTCTCCACCCAGAGGGTGGCTGGACACTGGAACAGGCCTTGAGGGAAGTAGTCACAGCAGCAGGCTGTCAGAGTCCAGGAAGCATTTGGAGAATGCTCTCAGGCACATGGTGCAATTCCTGGGGCTCTCCTGTACAGGGCCAGAAGCTGGACTCAGTGATCATTGTGGATCCCTTCCAAATCAGGACATTCTGTGATTGCATTCAGTGATTCTTTCTGTCTGAATTAAGACACAAATCTTGAAGTTAAATATATATATATCTACCTCATTACTCATTCCTTATTTCAGAGGAAATTATTTATTACCTCCGAAAGTGTCTTCATCACAAGCTTCTTAAAGGGCTTCTTGGACGGGCTTCTTAAAGGCCAGATGCAGGGAGCCAACATCCAGCAACAGAACTGCTCTGAGAGGCCTAAAGTCCCAAAATTACTCTTTCAACTCAGCAAATCCACCAGTCCAGATATGCAGCATGTCTCTTTTTCACTTTTGCAGTAAATGAACACAGTTCTTACTGTGCTTGAGGCAGGGAGCATACTACATCTGAAATACTTTCCAAATCAGTAATCACCGCTTTGCAAAGAGAATTGTTCAGCTTCTGAGACAACTAAAATGCCCTGAATTACCTTCTCTGCCACCCTTGGCTTCTGTGTGAGAATAAGCAGGACTGACACAAAAAAACTCTGCTAGGCATTAATCCCCTGCTGACAGAACTGTCATATTCAGTCAAGTACATTTGATGCAGATAACGATTTAGGCTCTGTAAAATACCAATGTTGATAGTTACAATTTTTAGCTGTCAGATTTTATTCCTCTACCAGCAAACTGTTTTCTACTAAAAATGTTAACTGGTTCCCTGGACCATAAAGAGTAAAAAGTGAAGCCGGAAGATACCATGGACAAAGCTGCAATTACAGAAGGTCCTGGTGACAACAGCAAGCTCTGGAACCTTGCCCTTCTGGTTAATTACGATGTCATCATCCGCTCAATGCTCAGTGTTTATACGGCTTTACTTCAGGGCCTATCATTTATTCTATATATTAACATCTAGAACTATAACCATGATATAACCTAGTCATTGGAAAAGGCCACAAACCCTGCTATGCTATGTCTCAATGCCAGTGCTGCAGCTTTACTGCATCTGAGACAGAACCACAAAAAAACATGGGTTTTAAATCTGAGGAAAGTCAGAAAAGCACTGCTAAGGGGGAGGTACTTTGAAGTAACTGATAGCTCTGTACCTCTCGTGCTGTGCAATTTAAAAAGTGTCTGCAAAGGGTACTAATTAATTAACTAACACATATCCACAGCAGGCAACTCATCCTACTGGAGATATGTCTCATTTAGAATATTAAAATGTATGGACTGAGGCTTAGATGTTGGGTTTGATTCCTTTTTTCCCATGTTCAAAACAAGAAACAGATGTGGAATATCTGTTTATGATTTCTACTGCAGTGTATAGATCAGGAGGAGCTCTACTGAGTAAAGCCAGATTACATATAAATTATTTGCCTTGTAAATATTGCAGATGATGTGGAATTAGAGCCCTGGAAGTTGTTTCAGACCACAAGATCTCCTTCTCTCTCTCTAATGTCTCAATAACAAACCTCGCATATCTCCATTTCCAAAACAGAAGACATTATTCCCAGTCAGACCTAACCCTGCCCAGAAGCAAACAAATTATTTTAAAGTTTAAAAACCATGGCTTGTTTTCTTCAAAATCTCCCATGACTGTTATCTAGCCCATCGCTAGAGAAAATGGTATTTAAAAAGAAAAACATAGTGCTGGAAAGTCAACTTCTTGCATTTGACAGAATATTTGTTACTACCCTTGAGATTCTTTCACTTCAGATCCAAGATCTTGAAGATGGCATATTGTGACTTGCTCTACACTATAAACCAGCAAACCTCTAAATATATTTTAGTACTAGTAAATAGACAGGAAAACCTCTCAACACCAATATATATATATTGTTCTGATATGGGATGTGATACAGGCTGATATGGGCACCATTTTTAAAAGTCAAGTCTAGGCATGCACTTAAATAAATGTATTGAGGCAAAAGCATATCTCTGCCTGGATCCTTGGGTGCATAAACAGGATATTTCTTTTTCTTCTACCTTTTGAAATTTACACTTGAAATACTTTAAAACCACCTTTTGAAATTTACACTTGAAATATTTTTAAACTGTTATAACAGAAGTGAAGACCTGAAAAGGTGGCTTCCCCTCTGCTGTTTCTCACTTGGTACTTGGCCAGGCAGCCAGAGTAAAGGTGTTCGGGCTACTTTGTACAGCCCTCTCCCTGAGTTACCGGCGCTGAGAGCCACCCCTGGGGGGTTCCACAGCCGGAATGTCTGAACAGCCCCCGAGCCGGCCGGGGGTACCTCCCGCACCCGGGGCGGGGGCTGTGGAGCAGCGGGGACTCCATGGCCGCTATGGGCTGTGGGGTTCCCAGGATGATGGGGTAGCGGGGACTCCAGGGCCGCTATGGGCTGTGGGGTTCCCAGGATGCGGGGGCAGCGGGGACTCCATGGCCGCTATGGGCTGTGGGGTTCCCAGGATGCGGGGGCAGCGGGGACGCCATGGCCGCTGTGGGCTGTGGGGTTCCCAGGTGCGCGGGTGCGCAGCGCAGCCCCTCGGGCCCGCGGCGGGCGGTGCGCGGGCGCCCTCTGCTGTCCCGCCGCGGCAGCGCCAGCGCCCGCGGAGGCGGGTCCGGAGCTGCGGCTCCGCGGAGGGCCCGGGGCAACGAGAGCCGGGGCATGGGTGGGAAGGCACGGCACGGGCCAGCCAGGAGCGAGTCCGTCGGGAGTTGGCAAACAAACACTACTAGGACCTACCAGATAAAATACGTACTTTTCTTTTCAGATTAAAGGGCGCAGCTGTTATAAATAAGGGGTGAGAATGCCACTGCAGTGTTAAAAATTGTAGGGGCGCACCTAAGCGCACGGACATCCTTCTGCCCGCCCAGCGGTACCGCCAGGGCGGCCCCTCAGCCCCGCAGCGGGCGCGGGCAGCGGCACGGCTCTCTCTGCTCTCTTACCTTGCAGGTGAGTGCATCGGCCTCAAAACATGACCTTCAAGCAGTAAAAATATTCAAGCAATCAGGTCTTCTAGGTCTTCTGCTTCTTCCGTACCAGAAAGCTGCCCGAGGGAATACAGGATGCCACATTCCGCCCTAAGCGGGCCAAGCCAAACCCGGGCTGGCAGGGCAGCTCCCGCACGGCCCTGGCTGCCAGAGGCGCTGCCTTTGCTCTCTGCCCTCGCTCCGGCAAGTCATCCGCGGCAGCGGCCAGCTCTCGGGTTCGGACAGCCCGGTTTGATGCTTTCGTGTTTTCTTAATCTTGATAAAGGGACCAGACAAGCAGAATGTTATGGTAAATAAATATTTGTTTATAACTCTGTCCACTTCAGTGAGGTGGAGCTAGTAGGGGGACAGTATCCTGTGTTAAATGAGTACAGAATGAAAATAAACAGCTTAAAATCTTCAACCCGTTTTAAGAACAAAGATATTTATGAGATTATGACATTTAGGAACCTAAGGAATATTTATGACATTAACCAAAATCAACTAACAGGTCACTTTAGGAAGGCTATATCTGGGTAGTGAAAATCCTGGAACTCTTGAAAAAGAGAACCAAATTCTTTCATTGCATCAATTGTTTTAAATAAACAGTACGCTAAAATGAGGCCTCATATTAAACACCATCATTTTAATGGTTTTCAACAGAAGGAAATGGAAAACATTGGTGAAATTAACCTGACAGATGAGGTAGCAGAGCTGCAATTTTAGAAGTAATATCCTTCCACAAGATCCAAGAAAAATGAAACAGTCCTGTGTTTTTCTGTAGGCTCCTTATTTTATTTTCTGTTGCTTTGACTGGCAAGCCCAAATATTTTAGCATGAATTTTATTGCTGAAGAAAACAACATGATTATTTAATGAAGATTACATCAGAGATGCATCTCATACCTCTAATATCATAATATTAACTTAAGAAAAAAGTTTATCCAGCTGTTCTTATTAAAAACTCAGTAGATCAACAAGCAAATTGTAGCAATGAGGTTTTTTCCATGTTTTTCTGAAATGAGCATTCACAGAAAGTAGAATTTCTGCAAAGTATTTTTCCTTCAGGAAATCTAAAATTTCTGATGAAGATTACAGTGAAAAAAATATAGACACTAGTTAGAAATATATTTTTCTTCTATAGAAGTAGAACTATATCTGTGTCACTGTTTTACCATTTTCCCTATTGATGGTTATTGTGATGTGAAATGTTAGTGGACCCCATGAACAGAATACTGATGGCAGAAAGGAAAGGAAATTGCAGAAATGTGTATTTCTGATTCATTTGGGGTTTGGAAAATATTTTCTTTCTGAATTTACTGCGTGAATTCACACACTTGTTCGTTACACTACAAGTATCTTTACTTACATTTCAGTCTACCAGAAGGACTGAAATGCAATTTTAGTCCAAACCTTTGGATGACCCTTTTTAAAAATACCAATCTGCTGAACAGTGTCACAGACTTGCCTGGAGGTTGCCATCAAGGATAGCAAATCTCTTGGGAAGCCTGAAATACAGGACACTTGCCAGAGTAAATACTATTTATGATTCTTCTGATTTGTGTATAAGTAATGATCATTAGAGCATTTTCAGGGATAGTTATTGAAAGAGTGAGGACTAAGCCTGTTCCCTGACAGCATTACCTGGAGTTACCTAAACAGCAGAGCATGGTTCCATCAATAACTTCATTGTTATAGACAGGGAGAAAAAAAAAATTGTTTTTCTTTCCTATGTAGTCAAAGCATAGAAAGGAATCTGTTTCTTCATAGTGGAGGCAGCCCTTCATCCCTACTAACACCAGCAATGCAAATGTTTCCTACAACAGACAGTGTGTTGTGGGGTTTTATAATAGCTGCCCACTTCTCACTTAAATAAAATGATTATAATTCCATGTAAACAGCCTTTCAGTCATATGTCATATTCTAGTTAAGGCTGACCAGTACAGAATTTGATCTGTGAGAGGAGTCCAATGTGACTGGCAGAATTGTCCCAGGAATAATCAATAAGGATTTATGTTGAAAAATAAACAGGGTAGATGTCATCTGCTGGGAAACACAGCTGAGAAAAAGTAAGAACAGGAAATACCTGAACTGCAGGTCCCACGTGATGAAAGAGCAACATTAAAGAATGTTTTTCTTGGCCTTCACTAAACAGATGGTTTCTCCAAAAGATGTTCTTTAATTAAAAGAAAAATAAGAGTATTCCCTTGATTTAAAAGAAAATAAACCATAACTGATACATTGTAAACTACCTGTTTTCAGGTTTGAATTATCTACTTCATGCACGTAGACAATATGATCCTCTTAACCAGTATTGTAAAGCTTCTTAGCATCAAGAATATGCCATCAAACAGCAACCTCAGTAACCTTATAGGCTATTTGGTCCATGTTTCTGATTTAGGCTGAAGTTGTTTAGTGAAGATTGAAATTTTGTGGGCTCTGCTCAAAGAGAACATGACATTATGCATCCCACACACAGGGATTCATGTAAAAATAGATATGGTTACTTCAAACTGCAAGAAATATAAATACTTCTATTCCAAACATTAGAGAACAAAATTAAGTACTTGTGCTCACATTTTCAACAGGAAGAGAAGAAATAATCACGGTTTTCAGGAGGGTCTCTTTGCACCTGCAGTTTAGTTGCTGCAGTCCATCATCTCCACTACCTTTGAAAGTATACTATTTAAAAAATGTTAAGCCACACTTACAAAGAACTCTGAGTGCTTCCTGTGCTGTCTCCTTGCCTCAGTCTCAACCAGGGCTGGAATCTAATAACTCGGAACTAGTGATTTCCTGGCAAAATATTATATTTCAGCTTACAATCATTCTTTCTGGGAACTGAGGTAGTGCTGTGGAGAGCATTAAATCCATAACTGTGCAGGCTGGATTAGATCTACTCTAATCAATGTTTAAAAACAATATTTACCTTACTTTAGTGGAATTTTAGCCATTTCCTTTATTACTTTGATAATACTTCAGAGATAGTTCTAAACCCAGTTGAGAAGGAAGGAAAAAAAGTCCCAGGGAGAATTAGAGAAGTCTATATAAACGTGACTTTTCCCAGCATTCTGATATATGCATGTTTATATTGATATATGTATATAATACACAATCTGTTATGAAGAAATAGTTTACAGGAAATATTTATATAAAGCATGTTGACACCAGGGATTGCATACTATTTGACATATTCTGTTCTCATTATTGAAAATTATTGGTGCTTTCTAATGTACTGTTGATAAGAAGGCAACCACCACATTAATCTTCCAGGGATTAGCAGTCCAAATCTCCTTCACAAGAGACAACATGAAATGCATTCATATTTTTGCATTCTTATACCAGATCCATATATATCTAGCAAGCACCAACTTATTTTCACCAGTCCTGAAATGATTTGACTGGATGCAGCCTGGAGATTTATGAATACCGCTGTAAGGATCAAAGTTTGTTGTCACCATGTCTGGTTAACACAGGCAATTATTAAAAGGAAGGAGAAAAATATTTGTGCCAGAACTTGGACCCTTTAATAACTCAGAGTTCTATGTTTAGAACAGAACAAGGAATCACAACACACAATATTTTGAGGCTTTATTTCCAGTCATTTTATTCCATTCAGGATTTCAAATAGAAATCCTAAGCTGCCACAGGTTTTGTTTTTGCATGAACAGTTCTTCCACAAACAGGGTAGAAATTACTTTCAGACAGGAATCATTATTTAAATAACACATGATTCCACCCAGTTACAAATACGCTGGCAGAGCAAGAAAATTAAATTGGGGGGGGAAGACCTGGCATGTTTCATCAGTCCAAAGAATTATGAAACAAAGTTCTAGAGGATCTGCAAACTCAAAACACCACAAAGGTCGCTTATCCATAGCTATTTATTCTACTATGCTTAATGACAAGTTTTGCAAGCAAACCATTTGGTAAGAGTTTTATCCTGAAGAAATGAAAATAACAATATTAAAACTTAACAGTTATATAAAATCATATATGTTTAGAGATACACAATTTAAGTGATGAGGTTTTTCCTCAAAGAAAAAAAGCCTTCAAATTGCTACTGAATGGAAAAGAGAGGCTACTCAAAGTACTTGGGGTGATTCAAGTTCACACCTTTCTCAGGAGTAAAAAAGAGTTCACAGTCATTCCTCAATATCCAGAGAATCATTTAATCAGTCTTAGGTGTCTCCAACCTGGGATTCATTTTTCTCCTAGCTCTTTGTTTTCAGGATGCTCACTTCTCTTCTGCAAGAGAGAAAGTTAGATCCACCTTCATCCCTGTAATTCTTACTGGCCTCAATCCCCACATTGTCCATTTGATCTCACACTTAAACCCTCTTTGAGGCAGTTCCCAGCCTGTCCATGTATTTCTGTGGGCAATATTCTTTCATAACACCTGGTTTGGGCAATCACCTTGAGTAAAGCTGAGGACATAATTCGGTCCTCCATGGGCCCTGATATATAGATCATCTACATACCCCCTTACCAGGATGGAAGAGTAATTCTGAAATTAAAATAGTCACAGTCTCTGGAGTTTTACAAAATGTGGACTTTGCCTAAATTTTCTGTTTGGCTACAACTTTCACAAGACGTTAAGTAGCAGTGGGTCCATTTAAAGAATGTTTATGTCTTCTACATAAAGAAGTGAAGACCTTCAGAAGACTTCTGAAGTGAAAGTAGGAAGACTTAACTCATCAAAATTCTTTTCAGTGGTTAGGAAGTTTATTCTTATACAGACTTCAGCTTTACCAGTACTAGAGAGCTCTAGAAGATACAGGAATTGAGGAATACCATCAAAGAACTAAAGCTATACTTCTCAAATCTTGATGATTTGTAATAAATCTTAACAGTATTAAAGCTTGGGGGAAATGATACTTAATTTCATTTTGTTCACTATCTTTTTTTTAAGATACCATGGAAAGTTATGGGAGACTCATCCCAACTTTTGGAGACCCAATCTATCATAAACCCTTAAAATTACATGTTAGCCTATTTAACGGGCTGTTGCTTTCATTTTTCTTGTGTTTCAGCATTTTCTGATGCCATCAGAGACCACAGGTGGGGCGTTGAAATGAAGCAAGAAAGAGTTTTCTCCTGATGAGATGTCCAGACAGACATGACTAAAGAGATGAGCAGCTACCCATATCCTAGGTATGAGGTTCCATTATTATATTACCCAGCACAGGAGAATTTAATCTAATCTGTTTAATTAATTTTAGTACTTACATTTCATGCTACTTATTTTTCCCCACCTCAATATATTGTGACCTGAGGATCTTTTTGAGAGAAAATAATCATTAGAATACTCTCAGTAATATTCTGGGGGAAAAAGGAAAAGAAAAAAATGAGAAACAAGTTCTGCATTGTTTCACAATATTGTTTCACCAACATTCCTTTTTCTTTAACCTTTTGGACATTAGGCACTGTCTTTATTTTAAATTATCTTCATTTAACTACCATCTAAGAGTAATTGTAGCCACATTGTTTCTTCTGTGGCAGTTGCCCATAAAAGAGTGGAACAATAGTGTGAAGGAATGGGTCACCCAGCCTCCTTTGACCAAAAGATCTGCCCAAATATTAAAACTAGCCCTTCTATCTATTGAGGGTGGCAGAGCACTGGAACGGGCTGCAGAGGGAGGTCATGGAGTCTCTCCATCCAGAGACATACAAAACCCCCCTGGACACATTCCTGTGTCACCTGCCCTATGTCACTCTGCCTTGGCAGAGGGATTGGACTTGATCTTCAGAGGTCCCTTCCAAACCTGGCTACTCTGTGATTATTGCAGTATCTGCAATACAAGTGTACGTTTTTTCTGTCTCACAGGTTTTGTTCCTTAGTCCCAGTGCAAGTATATCTTTCAAAGCATCTGGAAGGCTGAAAAACAGCTGACAAAGTGAATTTTCTTTTCTGCACAAAATATTTAAGTTAAAATGGTTTCGTTTTCATCTACTTTCTTTATGCAAAGCAATGACAGATAACTATCCTTCAGAAAAATACCAGCTGTGTTAGTTTGAAGGTCATCTTTTGAAAACTATGTGTAGTATGTATCTTGTATGCTTCTATACACAATTATTACTTTCCTTGGTTTTGTTAGCATGTCCTAACTATCAACCGCAACTCCTGTTGTCCTTGGCAAGCCTCCCAACAGTCAACAGATGTTTTCTCCCTCCTATTTCTTCCCTGAGCAAATGACTTCCAAATGATATCATCTCTCCTTGAACATAGGGTGACTCCCTTTGTCTCGGGGTTCTCTTCTGAGCCCTTGTGTTTAGAAACTTGGTAAATAAAAAGGACTCATTTTCTGAGACAGTGCAAACTTTGTGTCTACAAAACTATACTATGGACCACCAAGGCTATCAGTATAGCCAACCAGACTTACCTCTAAAGTGTCAGAAGGCAAGAGTCTCAGTTATGAAAATCTGCAATTCATAATGGGTTTGCATGGCATGCTTCTCTGCCCAACAAAATAGATTCCATTTATCTGCTGGAAAGCTTTATTTGATAAGTGATTTGGTGCTTGCCACACAGTGTCCTACAATTGCCTATAGGAGCCACTAAGATTCAAAGAATATGCATTGATCATCTGATGCTACTTTCTTTTGTAATTTCTTTAGTGGAGGCAACATATGACTTGGAAAGAAAATCAAGAATTCTCAAGCTTGGGCTGAATTGAAATATCACAGTTAAGTCATCTAACTTTTCATGCTAAAGGTTTAAAAATAAAACAGGTATTTTTTGGAGTTAACCTTCTAGACCAGGAAAAAAATCAAGAGAGAGTATTTTTCAATTAGCACTTATTTCTGTTAAGAATCCTGGATATCTTTTAAGACTCAGCTGAGCTCTTTTTATTCATCTAGAAATCTCAGTTAGTTAAAAGTACAATTTTGCAACCTGTGCTCGAAACATGTGTTTGATAAAGTACAATAGATATACTTTCAGGAAGGGACATAATTATTAGCACTTGAAAAGCACATATTTCAATGTACATTTGAAAAATACACTTCTCAGTTGGGTAGGGAATGGTGCTAATAACCCCAAGGTCATGGGTTTGATCCTCGTATGGGCCATTCATTTAACAGTTGGACTCAGTGATCCCTGTGGGGCCCTTCCAACTCAGGATATTCTGTGACTTTTGTGACTTCTCTCTCTCCAAGCAATTTGCAGTTCTAAAAATGTGATACACAAAATGAGCACACAGGAAGAAGGTATTTGTGAAGAAAGAAGGATTCTGTATATCTTATACTTTACTCTCCTAGTTTTCCAGCAGAGAGAGTTATGGCTGTTCAAAGCAGAATACTCCATTCTCTTACATAAAGTTACTCTTCCAGGCTGTCTGGTGTTAGCAGGACTTCTTATAACACTCCTCAGAGCTGCCCTCTCCCTGTGCAACATGCATCCTCTGGCCTGGAGGTCCAAGTGTTCAATATAAATCTTAGACAAGATGCGGAGAAACCCTTCTTCAAGAATTTTCAATTGCCTGAGATTGTCTGCAATGGTGCACTGCTACCATTTCAGCTGTTAGGATCTTTCTTTCTTTAAAGAGTTGCTCTTTGCTGAATACAAAACCCATCTCTAGCAGGTACATTCTGTGACATTATTCTTGACTTTATTTTTAGAATCCTTTACTGACACTGGCAAATCCTAGCCACAGTCCTGTGAGTGACTGGCATAATATGAAACCAGAAAAAGGTGCAAAACAATAAAAAAATTACTTATCCTGACCACTGAGACAGACAGCATTTCAGATTTAAAGAAGCAGAAATTCCTGGATGTCAACTGCATAATTGACTACAGATTCTCTTCAAATAATACATACAGAATCTAAAGGCAAAAGATCAACAGAGACTTACTGCAGGCTCAGGTAGAGCAGAAGGCTTTCTAAGACTGCAGGCTCTGGGTTGTTATCAGTAACCTTTACCCACACCTAAGGTGTGGAAAACCAGTCTGGCAGCTTCCAAACCAGTATTGGTTTGGCAAAAGCTCATTCTGTGGTGAGGAGTGGCCCTCACAAACTGCCGCTGTCTGATCATCCTTCCCGTGCCAGTGGGAGCAGCAATCCCTGCTCTCCACGGTCTTTCCCTATAACAGACTTCCTGGACATGTGTCCCATGCTTCCTGTGGCAGAACCCTCCCCTGAGACAGCAAAATTCATGTTCTACATTGCTGAGAAGTACTGGGCCAGTTCTGCTTGGGAATCACAATTTTGAATTACCAGTAAGTGGTTATTTTCAAAATCATTACTATTACAAAGGGCCTATATTTTTAATACTAAAGGCACCAATGTAAGGAAAACCACAAGGTGCCAAGGCTTAGTAGATAGTAAGCTGATTCACTGTCTCCACCTTTCACTATGGTTGAAATCTTAGACTCTAGTTTTACTGCTCTTCAGGGACCTCTGACACATCTTTGAGATCTGTGTTGAGATTAAACAAAAAAAAATTGAGAGCATGGACCACCTACACAGAGTTAAACCATTTGAAATTAAATACTTTTCTGATTATGCAGTGTTGAAATCCTTACTGTTAATACAGTTTAGCTTATTCTGGATTGCAAATTCTCAATTTTATTTAGCATGTAAAGCTAAAGCCCGGAATCAGTTGAGCCATTTTTCACTATAAGTAATGGTTCTTCCATTTGATATACACTAGGAATCATCTCTCGGCAAGATTTTCCCCCATCATTAGGTTTTGTTCTCATAACAGAGCTGTTGGATTTGTAACAAAAATGTGGTTCTCTAACCACAAAAATCCAACAAGGAGCACAAAGTAAAAGAATCCTTAAAAGGCTTCTGGTTTTGGTTTTAATTTTAAATATAGTATTAGTAAAGCACTTTTAAAATTAGATATGTCAGAAATCTACAGACAGAGCACCTAATATAAACGGAATGCAGCTTAAAATCACAAGTCTTCATATGGAGGCTTCACATGCAGACACTTAAAAATATAATTTTGAACATCAAAAATACAAGGATGAGAAGAAAAGTTATAAATTCTTATTCCTTCAGATCTCCTCTTTGTAGAAAATGCTGGCATAACCCTTCAAAGCTCTGGTGTATTCTGAAGCATTTATTACCTTCAAATTCATTAAATGATCTGCAAATTTTACTAAAGTTTTGAGCTAATGTCTAATAAAATAACAGATCTCAGTAAAATGAAGTTGCCATCCTTCTAAAGATACATTTTGTATTTTATTGTGACTGATCCAGAATTAAGGTATAAAACCCCCTTCACATTAGTTTTTAAACATGAGTTTAGGACTCCTGTCCTGCTTCTTCGACTGTTTGTTATGAACATGAAATGTTACCACCTTCTCAGTCACTAAATCACATTGACTTGCATTGTGCTAGATAATCTATTGGTATATATTTCATTATGTTGGATTCTAGAAGAAAATAGATTACTGAGAAAGACACAATGTTTTCTACAAATGCATGTTTGATAAATGTTTTTGGCAAATCAAATAAAAATCCCAGGAATTTGTATAGCTTCTTTTCATTTTATGACATTCAAAGATTTCTTTCTAGTCATCTGGGGACATTTCTATAAAGTGGATAGTCACACAAAGCCATATTTCTGAGCTCACTGACTTTAATAGAGCTACACAAAAGAAAAAAAAGATGGCCTCTTTTTGCTAATAAAATGCTAGATAAAAGATAAAAGAAGAAGTCATATGAAGTAAAAAAATCACTAATTCAAGCTGTATCCCACAGTCTGAATTTATCCTCTGCAGTGTTTTCCTGATCTACTTGGCCCAAGAAGTATGAAATAATGAAAGACTTGTGAGACAGTCATGACTACATTTCAATACCCCCATTACACAGAAAATGCATCTCATTCATAGAAGAAAATAATGAAGATAGCTAGGCTCAGAATTTGCTGTGTATAACAATCAAAAACAGTCCTGAAAAGAAGTGTTGATAATTGTGACAAAAAAATATTTGAATATATTATTGGTGTTGTGCCAGAACCATGCTCCATATAGTTTTTTCTCAGACAGAGATTTTCTTAGTTAGAAGATTTCATTGCCTACGTAATTGCTTTATTTCTTCAAATTTCTGTCTTTCATAAGCTATCTAAAATGCAGAGCAATGGCACTCTGCCGTGCACCTCAGCATATCACTTCCCCATCTGTCCAAATCAGGTCCAGACTAAAATGAAACTTTTCTCTGTTGCACATCTAGACTTAATGCTGAAGGAAATCCAAGGCTGTGAATAATGGGATGTGCAACTGCATCTGACTGCAACACAGAATCAAAATACTGCTTGGGCATGTGTCCATCACCAGCTTAATGCGTGGCAGGAAGTCCTGGACCTCTTTCACGGTGCCACTGTAGCTGCTGTCTCAGATGCCTCTTGCAGAGGTCAGACAGATCCTGTCAGGTCCTGTTCTGGAGACCATTTGTCACAATGCCTTAAAATCTCATCAGCAATACAAATTCAATTACCATTCATGGTGCCATTAATTGCCTTATTTCTTATCAGAAAAAGCACTGAGCTTTCTCTCTAATAGATAGTGTTGGCTATGAAATCAAGCTCACCATGATTTAACCAGTTCTGAATAATTTTTCACCTTGTTCTCACTGCAGATAAATACTATTTCATGTCTGATTAAGATGCCTAAATTAGACCTCACCTTTTCTGACATGAACAGAATTTTGGCAGTTTAATATCTACTATGAGAAATTAGTAAGACTTTCACTTAGTCTGGATTTAGAATAGTTCTGCTTCCAAATTACTTATAGGTTACTTAAGCTATGTATTCATTATCTGAAAAGAACATTTTTGGTTGTCCACAAATGCACCAGCAGCTTCATTGTATGCTCCATGGTCCTCAAACTGTGAGATATATAGTAAAAAATAATTCTGTGGTTAAGAATATGGTACAACCAAACAACAGCACTCCTGAAATGTCCTAGATTTTTTAAATCAGAAATCTGTTATGATTTTGTCAATGAGATTTGGAACTCACTTTTCTGGCCAGTCTGTTCTTGTGCATTGTTCACCTATAGGCTTTAAAATCTCACAAAATGCATTGATTTATATGCCATGACATGGCATATAGCCTGATGCCATGTCTGACATTTTTCATAATAATTTCTCATTTCATGCCACCATCATCACTTTTTTTGCAGGAAAAATTGGAGGAACAACTAAGCAAAGTTAGAAGACATTTTAGCAAATTGTCTGATGTACACTTTAACTAGACACACAGCCCTAGAAAAGGGAACAAAATTCAAGAGTTACAACTATACAGTTCTGCAATACCAAAACCACCAAAAGACATCAATGGCAGAGACACTTATGCAGAGCTTTCTCTCTCTACTCCCACACTCAGTCTTCTTCCATGAGCACTTCCAGGACAAAACTTCAATGTCCACAAAAGCTTCAGATTTGGAAATACCCAATGATAGTCTCTACAGTGGAATCATCTAGGTGAAGTTCAGGGCCAAACAGCACATGTGTCTTAGTACAAAATTAAATCTTTGACCCCTTCCACACAAGGATACACATATACAGCTGTCAAGATTATTATCTACTCTCTTTACCTTTCTACATTTCAGAGTTTTAGGATACATTTGATTTCTTGGAAAGCATCTTGCTGAATATCTACATCATAAACAAACCTGAAGAAAATGTAAGGCTTAATTTTATTTTTAGGGGCAGCCAATAGAAGGCATACAAATATGCTTTCTTCAGTATTGATGTGGGTGCCTAAACTCGGGGAGGAAAAAGTGTAAGAAATTTTCCAGATGGACCAAAACGCCCTGTTACTTGTTTAGAATCTCACAGCACAAACACTCAGAGTCTAACAGCTGCCAGAATGGGTGTGTTTGTGTGTGGTGCACACATATGTGTGTGTATCTCTCTCTTTTTCCTGCTCTGTCTTTTCCTATTTTTGTAGAGCCTGCTCTCTGGCTTTACTTTTTTACAGCAGTTTTTGCCAATCCAAAATATGTAGACACTAAGTTAAATCACTCATTTTGTTTATGTGGCAACAAGTTCAGACTTCTTGCCGAAAAATGTTCTTGGCTTTGGACAAAGCAGGCTTTGAGATGCTTCCATCTGTTTTGAATACACCACAAATCGTAGTATGGAAACCATTGCTCTCAACTGGTAGCCAATTTGCTGAATAAACCTATATTAAAAAAAATAAGTATGATTCAACTGCAGACTATTTTCATATTTTTATATCATTTAATTTCAAAGGAATCCAATCCTTATATGGAAGAACTTTAAATACTTATGAATTTTCTTGCTGGGAAGAGGGTCAAGTGAGTAAAAAAAAATTAAATTCATAAATTGGTATTATCAGTGAGGGGAAAAGGTTTAGGCTTTTGATGTACTTATATAGTATTTCTCATAACGGGGTCTGAGCACTGTTGCAAAGGTAAGCTTTCAATCTCTCAGCAGTTTCACTCCTTTGTATGTTCTACTACTGCTTGAAGAATTTGAGAGAATTTGTGAGTCAACAGTATACACAGTCTTGGAAAATGGAGGATATTATCTGCTATGCCTTTTGTCTGTTTTGGCAACCTTGGCATATATTTTTAATCTTCCTTTTTTCCTTACTCCCATTTTGACTTCCACTTCTAGTTTTGGAAAGAGACAAGGGTTTCTTTAACAAGATGTATAGATAGCACCAGCAATAAGGACCCCCAAACAAAACTGTTTTCAAACACTGCTCCTTTGAACTCCAGGAGATTATAATCATAGAATCATAGCATATCTCAAGTTGGAAGGGACACATAAAGATTGTCAAGTCCAATTCTCTGTTCCTCACAAGGAGTTCCATCTTTCAAGACAGTCAGTAAAATGTGATTTGTGTATACTTGTGTGTGATTTTACATGAAAACTAACTACAGGATTTACTCAAAAGAGCAGAGACTCAGTAGTAAAACCTTGAGCAATTTTTTCAAATATGTCTTTCAACCCACAGCACTGATGCCCATATTCTGCTTCTAAAATCAAGCATAGAGTGGGAATGTATTCTAATTTGTCTACATCGTGCTAAACTGAGTCTTTCTGATAGGAATTTCTGTCTTGTGTTCCCTTCCAGGTATGGTTTGTTTTCAGAGACACAGCAAAACAAAAATATACAAAGTCCAGAAGTCAAGAGCCAGAAGCAAGAGATTCCGTGACTGTGGTAAATTGCCTGTGATCAAATGTCGTGGCTCATAGTTGTGTTCCAAATTTATTGCAGAAGAACCTGGCTTAGGAGAGCCAATGATGGAGAAGGCACCTCATACTGCAGCATCTAGTAATAATTCCTAATTTTACTTCAGGGCAGATGTGATATAAATGATTCAGCTGAGCTTGAGAATGTCCAGAAGTTTTAACCTTTCAACAGATCCACAGTCCAACTGCATTGTTGAAAACACCAAGCTGCAAGCAAAGGCTGGCATGTAATAGAGCTGTTAATAAGGACAGAACATTGGTTTCCATATGCAATATTTAAAATATACCAGGAGAAAATCACTGGAACAAGGGTCTTTACTATAGTTTTGCAGTCATTATCAGTCAACTCTGTCAGACATTATGTTATCCTCCATTCTTTTATGCTGAGCCAAAATTTAGAATTATATGAGGACTGCATGTATTCAGTAAAGAGGAAACAAAATCATGTTCCTTCATTTGAAAAAAAATTTTGCATGTTTTAACTCAAAGATTCCCTCTTATTCTATCTCCATGTTTTTTTATGGTTGCAGATGTTGTGAAGTATAACCTCAGATGATGCAGAAGTAACATCTACAAGCATGCAAAATTAAATCAAATCTTGCAGGTGCTAATGCTAACAATTGACCTGTGATGCTAGCTCTCTCCTCATTTCTGTGTTTCTGCTTCATCATGTCTCCTAGTGTTGCCTGAACAAAAACTCTGAGAAGCAAGAGGCAGCTTTGCTGTGTACCTGGGCTGGAGCTGCTCCTCCCCTCAGCAGAGGGCAGGACAGGAGGATGCTGCTGCATGTGTGGGATAAGTGACAATCTGCAGTGCTGAGAAGAGCACAAGGTAGGTACTGGTTGCATACTCTAAAGATACAAAGGAGAAAAGATCTCATTTCCTCTACCATGTGCTTGTCAAGATACCCTTGAAAGAACAGATCCAAGGAATGTTAGGGTAAGAATTCAATCCCATTCACAAACCTTCATTATACCTTTCACACTTTAGGGAAAATATTTGTTAGTATTCAACACTTGTTGATCCTTTCTGCTATCAATATTATTACAAATTTAACTGATGAGATCTTTCATTGTTAAATTGCCAGTGCTATTACAGTTTGCTCCCTGGGTGGGGACTTGTCTCTCTTTCACTTTCTAATAAGTTACACTTTTTAAAAAATATTTTTTGTAATTTCTTCTAAGGACAATAGCTCATACCTTAATAGCACCCAAACCATGAAGAAAGGAACTAGTAGTTAAACCATTGAACCCTCTCACTTCTCTAAATTTGAATGGTATGTGTTAGAGAAAGTATTTCTATACAATTAACTGATTCATTGACTCACTTATTTTGAACCACAAACATCACATATATAAATCTTATACAGTTTTAATCATAGCCTAAACCCTTTTACCTCTTTTAGGACTGGTACAAAATGACCTTACATCAGTAACTTATCAACACAGTAAATCTCTCATGCCATAAAAAGAGACCTTCAAATGACTTCTTAATATGCTGCAATTTACACTTCGTCATCCCTGACTATTCTTCAACAGACATCACTACTTATATCTCCAGTTTGATATATCAAACAAGACATTTTTCTGCTATATTCCTAGATTTTTATTAACTTGGTGAAATCATTGTAATCTGTAACTTTACTGAGGCATTGGTCCAGTTTGACAGACTCAGCTGGATCTAGTAGTCTGACCTGGGAGCAGGTTGAGGCTCTGGTGTTTACAATTACATCCTTATAAGGCATCTTGGTTCACTTCCAATTATTGCTATTTCTATTTCTATAAAGCTTTCATATTTCGGTGCATTATTTATGCCATCAAACCAAGAACTCTCATTATTGATAGTATAACAATGTTATTAGGTAAGAAGTAACATCTGACATTTCAACTTCCATGTGCCTCCACAGAGTGAGAAGTGAAGAATTCCTCTGTTCTTCCCCACAAGCAGGTAGCTGGAATACTAATGACAGTATAGGCTGAGCACAATGTACAAGGAAAGCTGAGTCCCTGGGCTTTCAGCAAGTTGTCAGCTTGTGCTTACTCACACAGTGCTCCTCCACAAACCTATTTTACAACACATATCCTTCACCCAAACCTGCTGAACATCAGAAGGCAACAGATTTTTATCCTGAAGTTCTGAATTGTAATATAAGTGAGGGAGGGGAAAACTTGAAAGAAAAAGCCCAGGTTACAAGAGGGCCTGTCCTTCTCTGGCTGGAGTAGTGCATGTTCTCACTAGGTAACACTTGGCACAAGCATGGCTGTGACTTTTTCCCTCCTTTTTCAACCAAACACAGTTCCACCACAATCTTCTAGCAATCTCTCTAATCACTTCCAGATCAAAAATGTAACAAACGTGCATATTTTTCTCCCATGGCAATGCAGTGTTTGTCTCAGTACCTCAGTAGACCAGGGCAAACAGGGTTTTTTGTGTGTGTACACTATGTGCACATGGAGTTCTTTCTGATAAGGGTCTGAAACCACTGCAACACAAATTACTTATATCAGCATATTGGAAAGTGATAGCATCACCCAGCCATATCTATCTGCTAACCCAGCATGCCAGATGGGTACCTACAGAGACTTTTGGAGCTTTGCCAGTAGTATCTGCTAGCTAGACACAAGAGTAAACTGTGCGCCTTATTTACTTAACATAAATCCTACCTTTTGTTCTGATCTGTCCACATCTTCAGGTTGAAATACTAGCCAGGCAGTGGTATGTAGAAGTGTATATATGTCTATGATTCAGTTTTCATGCAGACAGAATATTAATATAAATTTCAGTGAAAACAGGGAGGTTTAATTTTGAGTGGTAATTTCATAATCAGACAAAATATTCAAAATGCTAAACTGTGTAACTTTTCTACAGGCAATTAATCAGAACTGACTGAGAAAAGGTGGTAACATGAAATTTTAAATCACATAAACTGACAATAGGTTTTTTTCAAAGTAGTTCTGAACAGAGCATTCTAGCTTCTCTGTTTCTTCACTAATGTGCTGTTCCTGTGAATGCAGTTTGCTTTGCATGCTTTGTTCTCTTTTCCTACAGCAACACCTACTGTTAAAAATACAACTGAAATTTTCATTTACAAGTCCATGAAGTTATTTTTAAGTAACCACTAGCAGTTCAAACTTTCAAAGTGATCCTAATCCTGTTATACAATGTGTTTTGTTTCCCCAACAACCTTTTTAGGAAGCGATCTCCTGTCTAAACTTCTCTCTGAGTGCAAAAGACATGAATTAGAGATTTTTAAGACAATCCTGAACCTGATTGAAATATCTGAACTGACATTCCACCCTGCAGTAGGTCAATGACAAAACTCAGATGTGGACTAAGAGTTTTTAAATCCAGCAGCCAACCTGACTTAAAATCAAAATGTTAAAATAAAAATCAGATATTCAACAAAGATAATTTTAATGAATAATAAAGCCATCTTATAAAATTTGATCTGGTTTTAATTTAGGATTTCAGTTTCAGGGAAGGTTGATCCCAGGTTTTGGATGCAATTCTATCCTTAATTTCACCTAAGCTATGAGGAAAAGTTTACTTTTATAATTTAATGTTCATGCTTTGAAGAAAAATTATATGGAACAGAAAATAGAGGCCTACAGAAAGCCCAAGTACAGTGGAATTTTGTTATTCTATTTTAAATATTCACTTAACTTTATAAGAAGTTAAGTGAATATTTAAAATAGAATAACAAAAAACATGTACTTGGTGGCTGTTAGGACATTGTTTTGACAGAAGGTTGGTTCACAGCTTCTGTTCCCAGATTTATAGAAACTGACAGCAGAGCTAGCACTATTTCTTGTTTTGAGAAAATGTATTCTATGTTTCTCTGTGACTAAGGTCACTGTGTGTCATCATGTTCCCTAGAGCATGCTGCGAGCAAAGTTCAGCTCCAAGAAGCCTGTTAGCAGACTGTTTTCTGAAGTAATGTTCTATGTCTGTATTTTATACCTAGAAGAATTTACAAGTTTATATACAGAAACACTCTGTAACTATGTCATACTTTGTCTGAATTTGAATGACTCATATATTCAAAAGATAAGCTGTTTAAATGAAACACATCATTTGATTTGAGCCAGCTGCAAAAAACATACAATGGAAAAAATCCTACAATGGATTTTTTCTAACCTTTAAAGATAAAAAAATCTTTCAAAATCTCACATATACTTCAGAAAATAAAAACATTTTTAATTGCCCTCTTCAGTCTTCCCTGATCCCTTGTATATGAACCTGTATTTCTTTATTCATTGGCCTGACAGGTCATGAAGATGTGAATTTCCAGAGACACAGTGAGAAAGATTGAATAACAGGATCAGTGAATAGATGGCAGCCCAGTAACACCCACTAGCTGTCTGGGTCAGCCAACACTCTCAACACTTTCTGTTAGCTTTCCCTTGTCTGAACTGCCAGAGATGCACTGATCTGCATAACCAAGCAATCTGTGTTTACCCATTTATTTATGAGAGAAGGATATGTATTACATACATTGGAACAGGCTGCCCAGAGGAGCTGTGGGATGCCCTGGAAGGGTTCAAGGCCAGGTTGGATGGGGCTTTGAGCACTGTGGCCTAGTGGAAGATGTCCCTGGCCATGGAAAGTGGGACGGAACTAGATTATCTTTAAAGGTCTCTTCCAATTCAGACCTTTATATGATTCTGAAATTTTTGTAGACTTAGGATGACAGTCCTTAGCAATCCCATTTAATAGTAATGTACTCACTCCTTGAAACCTGGCTTTTGTCACATTCATGTAGCAAAATACTCGTGGCTCAAACTGGTAAAACCCCTAAACTTTCAAGTTCCCTTGAGAGAAATGCAAGAAATACACATCACAGGATGGTATAGAGGCTGCTTTTCACTATGAAAAGCAATTCACTATGGATGAAGCAATTTCCTTTTGCAAATTACCATATCAAACCAGGCTCAACTAAAATATAGAAGACACATAGGAGCTGAACTGCAGGCCATACCCTACCTTGTAGGGTAGGTTTTCCCTTGTATAGTAGATTTCAAAAATATCTGTATATAAGAAATTGTCAAAGGCCTGGTTAATGATCTGTATGTCCTTTAAAGCCAACTCAAACTATCCCTTCTCAGCAGGAGAATTTGTGCATATAAAGAGGAATTTTCATGTCTATGAATTAGTTTAGGCTTATTTTACAGGGAATGCAAATTTCATAAGATTTTTTCTATGGACAGTGTGCAATATTCACCATGATTTTACTGCAGCATAAAAATGAATAATCATGTCATGACACTGGGTCTGGCACACATCAGAGTGTGCTGTGAGCTTATGACTTATGGAGTTACTTCTTTAAATCAGCTGCTAAAAGTGGAGTTAGAACTTGAAAGAAAACCCGCTGCAGTCCATGTGAAAATTTCCACTGACTTCAATATGCTGTAGTATAAGCCTTTTCAGCTGAGCGTCTCCAGTGGAGTTCAACTGATGAAAGCATTTGTATGTGGATGTGATTTGCTATGTAAACATATGATGGAATATGCTTTCTGTGGATTCTTTGGCTGGTAACAAAGAATCTGGTAAACATTCACCCCCCTCAGACTGCAGTTTCAGCAACTGAAAGTTTTGTTTTTTCTGAGAACTGTGTGAACAGAAGCTAAAGTTCATAATAGCTCTCTAAACACTACTGTCTGGTTTCTGTTAACATTTCCATTACCACAGTTTCTCAGATAGTTTCACAACAATGCTAAATTCCCAAGGATGCATTAGGAAAAGATATGAGTTCCCAGTGAGTAGGTTTTTTAACTGGTAGCTCAAGTGTCACACTAGGGATAGATTTTTACTTAGACACTCACCTGGGAAGAGCAGAATCACCTAGGGAGCCAAGTCTGGCCAATAATAAGCATGCAATAAACTTGCAGGAGGAACAAAGGCTGAGTGCCTACCTATTGTTGTCAAGAAATGGTCTTGAGATAGTGGTGCACGGCTCATCAGAAAGGAATGTTATGAGAACTCTGTGTACTTAAGTTTGCACAGATGCGCCCAGATAAATCTATTTACCTGGTATGACTGAACCTTGGTAGACATAACTAAACTATCTAGTGTGACCAAGAATCTTAATTTTTAAATGTTATACATATAAAATATTTTTAATACTTTTAGTTAGAATAAAAACCTTCATTATTTTCAGTCAGTCACTTCAAAAGGACTACTACAGCTAATATAAAAAAAAATTCTCTTGCATTTTGACCAAAAGTATCTAGTAAAGCTTATTTTCACTCAGTGAAGATATACACAAGCAACTGGAGTAGCATTAAGTTTTATCTTATGGAAAACTTGGAACTGACTTTTCGCTATTTCAGATAGACATAGTGGAGAGGCATTTCTAACAATGATAATTCCACTGATTTTGTGGATGCACTGCCTTAGCATGAGTGAATTTACATGAAGAAAAATTATCCCATTTATAAATCAGGTGCAAGATGCAACTTAGAAAAGGTTAAAGAATACATCTTTCATGCACACCTGTACAAATCCAACAAAACTAAGAAAGCCATCTGTAGGGAATGAGTCCCTGTCTGATGGATAAAAGTTTCTCATAATTTTGACATTGCTTTCAGCTACAATTACATTCTAAATATTAAAGAATAGATATAGGTGCAACTGATATTATTTCACAAACCTATTTTTCAATGGCACTGACAAGCTCTTCAATTGAAAGAAAATTCTCCTTTCATGTAAAACAGCAGATTGCAGTTCCAGTATCTTGCTTCCCCAGCACGCACAGAATTGATCTCAGCATCTGACAGAAGCTTTAGGAATGATCTCTGAAAGAACTAAAAAGCAGAACTAAAATCTATGAAGTAAATGTAAATGAACCACAGATCATAAATAATGTTGTCCCAAACGAAAAAAGAATCTCCCCAAACTTCCAGGGACAGAATGAGACCGGTCTCATTCACAGATAAGACCAATGTTCTGTACTGCAGTAAGATGCAAAGTGCACATGCATTCATGTGCTGTATAAAAGACATATGTTATGTGACTGTTGTAAGTATAATAATCCTGTGATCCCAGAATCAACTGCTATCTTATTCTACTTGTATAGGCATTGTTAAAAGTCTTAGTGAGGCTGCAGATTCACCAGGGGAGGACCTAAGCCTTGTAATGCACTTTGAGATCTACTATAAGGAGAGATGGTAAATATGTTTCTATTACTTACACAGATATAAAGCCAAAAATACACATTTGTGCATGCACACAAGCACATACATATTAAAAAAAATTACAAAAGACTAGTTCCTGTCCTTAGGCAACCATGTGGCCAAGTGACAAGTACACAAAGGTTAGGAAAAGGATATAAATACTTTCCCATATAGTTTGTCAGAAATATTCTCACTTACTTGAAGTCTTTTCTATAAAGTTGATTATTTATTATTTGTCAAAAAATCATAAATTGATCCTCATGTTTTCACTGCCAGGAACATTTAAAGGAAGCTTTAAGGGCAGTTCAGAGTCTAGGAAGTGAAAAATTCTGCTGCCCAAAAGAGGCATAAAAATGCCAGTTTCACAAAATAAGCTCTGCTAAAGTGATCAGACTACAGACTGAAAAATCTAGTTCAGAAGTCAAAAATGTAATACCAAACCAGGCAGTACAGACTAGATAGAACGTTTTCAGCACCAGACAAAGAGGACAAATTGGCTGAGCAACTGTCTTGAAGGAAATACTTTACTGGTCTGTAGTATCTCCAAGCTAAAGGACGAATGTTGGAAAGTGACAGAAGCTTCAGCTGCCTTCCAAAAGGTGTGTTCAGAAGGCCTTATGTCCCACAAAATCCACACACAGGGTGCTGCTGCCAGAGCTATTTTTAGTTTTGTCTTCTTTTGTGTCTTTCTACTTTAGTGGTTCAAATCTCTTTGATTTTGTTTCTTCCAAACTATGGCTAAGTTCGCTTCCAGTCCAGGATATTATTAGAGTCTCTCCTTTTTTCAAAGATTATGTTTTTTAAATGTCAGTATTTAATAAATATAATAAAGTTATAAGTTTCCTATATTTTATTTTAGAATAAGCATATTTTCTCACTTATTTCTTAAAAAACATTCTTTGCCAAAACAGTGACCTTGAGGGTATGAGTCTCATCTATTCATGGAAATGTTTTCTTTTCAGCTGAAAACAAGGGTTCTGTGGTTTTGTCCTGTATTGCAACCTTCCAGCCGAAGACCATCTAAGTCAAAGCAGAAGGAACGGAAAGCCTCATTTTTCTGAGGCAGCGGCTTCTTGCAGGTGAGAAACAAAGGAGACATTTCCACTCCATTGCAATGGCAGGACTTGCTACAAGCTTGACATAGCAAAATATAAACAAATCAATGCACAACTACTTTTGTTTGTGGAGGCAAGCAAAAATTATCCAAAATGTAGCATCCACAGCTGGCATTACTTGTAGACTGGCTGGCAGCCTCTGCAGAGAGAACAAACAATACTAAAATACATTCAAAGGTCCTATTTCCAAGGCACTTTAGGGATGTGCCAGCCAGGCAATACGGGAAATGGGCCTTCCATATGTGTGTGACACCCCTAGCAGATTTAGAAGGTAAAGTAAAGGGACTAGTAGAGTTTAATCTAAAGTACTTATTGCTGTAGATGTATTGGCACTTTTTTTTCTTTGAAAATTAAAATGTATGGACTCATTCCCAAAGTTCAAAAAAGGAAGACTTGCACCATTTTGGATTGTTCTTCAGTTCTAAGCTACATGTTTCTGCTCTGTTGGGCAAGTGTAACAGCAGACAATAAATAGAGAGCATCTTCTGCAGGGATTAAAGGAAAAGCTATACCACAGTAAAACTAAGGCATATTACCTTGTCTAATTCTATACCACAATTTCAATTTTCTGCCATTTTTAGTCCTATGTGCTGTAGACATCAAAGGCTCTGAATTTTGTCAGTCTTGAAGTATTATAAAAGCTACAGTCTGGCAATTCATCTTTAATGAGTTGTTTACATGGAAATCAAACAGACGAGGAATTTCTTGAAAATAGCCAAGGATCATTCCTAGCACTCTGTCTCTTAAAAACAACTTCTGTGGCCATACATCAACTATCATTGAGTGACATTCATAGCTATAATAAAGCTGTTTACTGTTTCACTCTGAACAGGTTTCTTGTTTATGTGCCCCAGCCTACAACTTCTAAAATATATACCATCTCTTACTGCTGCAACCTGGAATTTGCCAGCAGTATCAGTAGTAAATCACAAGCAACTACTCTTACTTTTATTCCTCTCTTAGGAATAGAATGGGAGCCTTTAGACACAGCTGTCTGAACTTGGATAATTTTCAGATAAAAGCATTATTTATACTCTAAAGTGTCCCAGGAGCTGCCTGGACAGAACTGTACACAGTTAGGATCTACCTATTTTTACATGTGGGGCAACCAAGCAAGATTCATAATGCAAAATTTAATTCCAGATCTGCATTTAGGCGAGTCTGGACCATGCACATGCACAAAGTCCATACTAGCTGCTCGAGAGGTCATTGGACCTTCAGCATGATCACTTCAGGAAAATGCTGACATTTCCACTGGTTTTGCTACATCTGTTTATTCCTGTGTTCCAGTTTGTTCCTTTTTCAAAGATCCCTTCTTGGTCTCACTATATTTTTTCCAAAATTCTATATTGTTGTTTTGTGTTTTAGACACCAAGAGTTTTAGTTCAGTTGTAAGATATACTGTTCCATGTAAGCACATTTTGACACTGGATACAATCCAGGATGAAGTACATAAAACCTGGGCTGTCACATCAAAGGATACTCGGTAAATGTAGTCCTTTAACCTTATTACTTTCAGCATTTTTAATTATATTTTATGAGTGAGGATCTTTGTGCATTCAGTTTGTAAAGGGATGCTCTATTTGGTGCAAGAGTTAATCCTCCTATTTTAGCTGTACTCACACTCTGCTATCAAAGTTCTCAGTAACAGAGGCTAAATTCAAGGACTTGTTTATATTAATGCAGTTTTTTAAGTTCTCTAGGGTGAAAGACACTGCAAAAATGCAAACCCCCACCTACTTACTTAATAAGAAGTCAGAAAGACTAGCATGACTTGCATGACATTTAAATTTCACAGTAATTTTGTCCCCCTTTGTTTTGAACTAACATGTGACTTAAAAATCATTAATTTGTCAATCTATGTGTAAAAAGACCCAAATAAGTTAAATAAAATTTCTGATCTAGTTTTTCTCTAGCCCTTTAAAACAGAGAAATACCTGAAAATCTAATATTTAAATTTAGACTATTTGTGTGCTTAAAGGTGCAAGTAGAGATAGGTAATGTTATTAAACTACAGTCACACCATGTAATAATATAGTTGTAATTATCTAAAAATGGTCTATCAGACAAAAATATGTGTTCAGTGTTTTTAACTGGAAGTTTATTTAGAATACCTATGGGCTTAATATGAAGGTGAATAAACCTGTATCCTCAACAGATTGGCATTTTACTGGGATTTAAATGCAAGGCTTCTGTGGCAATAAAAAAGAGGTAATTTTTAAATGTAGCTTGCAAGAAGCTGGTAAAAGCAGGAGTGTCATATATTAGATAGGTGGGATATTTGCTGGGACAGAAAGGTAGTTCTTGAAGCTTGGCTTGTAAGTGTAATCTTGTCCCATATTCCTGTTATGGATTTTTTAATGGCTCATTTACAAAAACCCCAAAGCTTAAGTGAGAGATACAAAGTGGTAGAGATTGTTGGATCATCAGCAAAGCACAGCTATCATGCAGGAAAACAGACTGTTCAGTGTCCATGGAGGTAAGTGATTTTAATGAAAGGGAGCAGTGAGGGTAACTCTCCAGATATAGAGTTCCTATATTAAAATGAAAGATTTTCTAGGATTATGGACAGATGCATATCAAGAAGGCACTTGATTTATTTAAAAAAATTGAAAATAATTCACCTAACATTTGCCAAGCAACCAGACACAGTATTTGATTTGAAATGTGGTATAGTTAAATAAGTTTATTTCACTCTGACACGTGAACAATGCAAAGAATAAAAAGGCAGAAGCCAGACAGACCTTCTTTCCTAGTAAGCTAACAACAGACAGGAACTGTTTTCTGAGTTACTCTGTTTACTTTTAGCAGTAGGAACTGACAGGACTCACAGCTACAAAGCAAAAAAGCATGGATCTGTTTCATGAATTAGAATTTACCTCTACTTTTCTAAAGAAAAGGCTGCCAAAACACATTTTTAATTACTTTCAGAGATATTTTTGTCTCTCTTGTCTACAGCTGTCACTTATTGAATAACTTAAAAAATCAAATGAAATCTCCTAAAAATCATTCTGCTCAGAAGCAGTTCTTATATATCACATATTCGCCATTCCTTGACAGTTGCATTCCTTTGAATATTGGAATGAAAATAAATGCTTCATAATCGAGGTTTTTGTTTCTGCTACTTATTTTCCTGTTTGTACAGTAAGTCCTTGGATTTAGAAACATAGTTAGGCTTAAGATATCCCTAAAAATACCTAATAAAGCAATAACATTAAAAAATGTAAACCACTGTTGATTGCATGTTTTCCATTCCCCAAAACAGACAGAATAGGACAGACTGAATGAGAGGAAGGGTTGTGTCCTTGTCTTTGTGTGAATAAATGTAGCAAAATAAAATGTCATTATGGAAGACAGAATATAAAATTTTGAAATTTCCAGTGGTTTCCAATAGGAGCTTGAAGAATCAGTATCAATGAAATTATTCAGGATAACTTTTTTGTGCAGTATTTTGTAGCATTCTTCAAGAATAATGACAGAGGACATACAAGGGAGAAAATAGCTAAAAGCATTCCTGAAGTCATGCTCTTCTTCAGCTGCTGTAAGACTTTTAGCAAAGCCATCTGTATTTCAAAATATATGCAGAGCCATTGGTACTTCAGCAGCATGTAAAGGGAACTGAAGTACTAATATTTGCACCATCTTGGTTGAAGTCTTCAGCTGAAATACTTTCTGCATTCTGACATAAGTAAAAAATGAGTACCAGGAGTACCTATTTATAGTATTAGCAGTTCTACTTCTATATATTTGTTTACAGAAGAAGCAGAATGGAAAAGAGATCAGGATAGTTTTCTAGTACTAACTTTAACCACAGAAACTCAGTTTCTATTATTCACATTAACAGAATCAAGTTCAACCTTCACATGAGCCAAACCCACTCTAGGCAAGCTCTTGGACAATTAGTATATACCTAGACAATAATGGACTACTCTTTGAAAAAGGATACAACAAAATTTGGTGGAGTTTCAGAGGTATCAAAGGACAATCATATAGATATATGGACTACCCATGTTCACAGTTTTCTACAGTGTTTCCTAAAGATTCCAGCTGCTTAACTAAGCCTTAAAGGGTATGTGAATACCACGTTTATAGAAGAAAATATGGCATTCCATAAAAAGCTTCTTTATTCTTCATTTCTACAGACATCACAAGAGGCCACAGTTCTCTGTATCTCTAGTCATAACACCTGCTTTCAGACAGAATTCTGTGCAGTCTTTAAATGGGACCAGGATAGTATGGAGAATGTAGAGCCTTTGGTTGCTCTCTTCGGTGCATAGACTAGCAGATTTATGCCAGAAATCATAGTCAGCAAGAGATAAGGCTGGTACAGTTCTGGAGGAATCCAAAAGGAAAGTCACAGTCCTATTGCTGGTTGATCCCAGAGAAAAACTGCAGTTAAAGATAATTAGTAATAGCTCTATCTTCTTACGTCAAAACTATAATGCATTAATTACCTATTTTAAAATTTACATTATTTAGTTATACAGTATTTCTAACTTCTGGGGTAGACATTCTATTGATTGCAAATCAGTTTGTTTCCGTCTCTTATGCTTCTTTAGAAACTGTCTTATAAAAGTACTGACAATTTGGTAATTATTTTATCCAGAATTTTAGTTTAAAAAAGAATATTGTGTCCAACCATCAAAAAACTTGTTTTCTGTGCAAGGAAACAGCCCTAAAGGCTGCTTGTTGATCTCTAAATGTCAGGCTCATTATGCTGCAGAGTAGTATAAAATGAGGTTTTAATCTTTTTTTCCTAATAGATAGAAACAATAAAATTTTAAAAGTGAGAAGTTACTTCTGTCACAACCTCATACTCTTAGCTGCCTGTGAGATTCAACTGTGGAACCTTGGCTCACATTCTGCAGTAGCCATCTTTGTCCTTGGAGAATATTTAGAGTCACAGAGGTGGATTACTGAGAAAAAAATAGTTTGCCACTGAAGTGGGACATCAGTAATAGAAATGAACCAGAACACTGCACATAAGTTTGTAATTAGGGGCCTGATTCTGCAATAGTCTGAGTATTTCCTGAATGGTTTGGTGCTGAGTACCTTTAACTCATTAAGTGATGTCATGGGTTTAGTTTGTTCAATAACACAGCACTGTGGTGAGAGGAATGTACAGAAGGTTATTTAATAGGAGATGTGTTTCAATTGCTATTGAAAAGCAAAAAATCAGTCTCAGAAAACTGACTTCTTGGTTGAGACTGCACACATCCTGTGCCAACCAAGTCATTAGAGCACCTCACCTGAAGTAGAGAGAAAGCCACTTCATGAATTAAATGGCTGGACAGCTGCCCAGCTAAGCACATAGATTCCCTTTCACAGTCAAAGCACCCTCACAGAATTAAAATTTGATGTTATCCAAGCCACAGAGCTACTTTTCTTGGTACTGATTACAAGGATAATGTGCAGCTGTGTTGGTTGGGCTTGAAAACTGTTCAGATTGGCTCTGAGTTTGTTTTGCTTCAACTGTCTTACATGAAAAAGAAATTTCCCTCATAAATCCATATCTGCAAGCATGCTTCCTTATCACGCATTACGTGTTTACCCATGAGGAAGAAAAACACTGTTCTATTTCCTAGAAAGTCCAGATCAACAAGTTCATATAAACATTGGAACAAGCTGGTACGATCATCTCATCATATGTGAAGGAGGAAAGAAACAATGAAATCATAGTGAATGAATTGTATCTGATGAGGAATAAGTTCATCTGCCCAGAAGTTAAGCTTTTGTTCCTCATTGATTTAAATAGAGATAGTAGGAAAAATATATTTTTCACTTTTAAACTAGTTCTATGAAATCTATTAAGAAATTTCCAAACTTTCACACCATCTCCTTGTGTCAGAAAAGGATTTTTGGATTCAGTGCATCATTGCTAAAAAGTACTGAAATAGAAATTAGCAAGTGCTGCTTTGTTTGGGGAAGGACCATTTAGAGTTTTAACAACAAAAAAAAGACACTATTTAGTTTTGTAGTCTAACAGTGCTGGACTATCAGGCTTATTTTATAGCATTTAATTATCATAGGAAATAAACTCACAATATAAGAATCATATTCCCACAATGACAAGTATATAGTAAAATGTTTTTTCTATTCTTAAATCTTCTAGTCAATTTACAACCTGAAATCCAGAAACTTGGATTGTGAGCTTGCACCTCTGATACTTCAAAGAGTGCTTTTATACTTACCATCACTATAGCCTAAAGCATCAGTGTAACCTAATTTTTCACTTTTTTTTGCTGAACTGGAAAGACCAGCAATGGCATACAGGTACCCAAACTCATAGGTCTTTTGAGAGCAGGTGAACCTTAAATGTATACAGAAGTTGTGATAGGATTACTTAATAAAAATTTCCATCTGCAAAAAGCAATTTTGGGGGCATGCAAGTGAGTTCACATTCAAAAATGTCAAATCTTCAAAAGGATCTCAAAATTTTATGTCTAGTTAGAGTGAACAAGATTTAGTCCTTTTTTTTCCCTCAAAAATATTTTCCTGTTTCTTCCTCTTTTAACTGAAGGATGTGAAAGTCTACTACATATACACACTTTGTTATGTACATTCTTAGTTTCAGTCCTCTTGCTGGATTTAATTTCAAAGTTGATGTTAATTCAATTTCTTATGGAATAAGACCCAGATAAGATGGGATCAAAAGACTTGTTTTTTTAATTAAACCAGACTCCTAATTCTGTGGCTGTCTAGGTAAGTTAGAATTCAAAAATTTTATCCATTATTTTTGCTGAAATGTAAATTTCCATTACTCTGTTTCATATTATCTATGAAGGCTTCTATAGCCATATAAACTGAATAAAGAAAAGAATTTCTTGTCAACACTTCACCCAGAAATGACATTTTGTTCTTTATTATTGCTTCATATAAAGAACTTCTACAGAAAACCATAGAATCACAGAATAGTTTGGGCTGGAAGGGACATTTAAAGACCATCTAGTCCCATCCTTCTGCAATGAGCAAGGATATCTTCAACTACATCAAGTTTCTGAAGTTCCTACATGAACTGTTTCCCCTCACATTAATGAAGGCAAATAGTTATTGAAAATGTCATTATCCAGGCATAAAGGAACCTTATTTCAGGTACATGCAAATAACTTTGCAGATAATAAACAGGAAATGTATAGCTTTTTCTCAGTCACAGATGCTACATTCTAACAGAGAAACAAAAGTTGGTAAAGGTGTTCATGCCCAAATTTTTAAATAAATTTCAGTTTAATTGCTGCAATGGAAATCTGTCTTTCTGTGAATTGTTAGAGTAAAATACAGAGTAAAATATTGTATTCTTAGCGCATCCAAACTGATTCTTACTCCAGTATTCCTAACATTTTCCACTGTCCAAGATTTGTAGATAGAAAAGGGTAAAATGTTTTCATAAGAATAGCTGATGTCAGGAGGATCAGAATTTGAATCCAAGTCCTTTCCCTGGATAAAGAATGTATAACCAGATATTCAGGAACACTAGCTGTGGTACTGATCAGGATACCTCAGTAAAAGACTGTCTGACAAAGTAAGAATCATGTACACAAGAGTCCAAGCGAGGAAACACTTTCTTGTGATATGCTCAATAAAAAAATAATTTATTATGTTATAATGGGCATTTTCTTTTCAAGAAATCAGCAGAAGCCCAAGGCATGATCAGCAGAAAATATTTTTCAGGATTTGAAGTGCTAGAAGTGATGACTTTGTTACAAGTCTTCTGCAAAAACAAGCAGAATTTATGTAAATAATTCACCAGAGTGCACAGAAGAGATGTGGGGAGAAGTCTATTTCTTATGGTCTCAGCATTCATTGACTGTTTCTCGAGAGGGACTTTAATTAATGCTTATTGTTTTTATGCAAGCAATAATGTTCTCTCTTACCTGCCCTAACTGGACAAGCAAATGGTTTGTGACTGATTTTCAAGTGTTAGAGCAAGTGACATCTGGCGTTAGTTTCTTTCCAGTTCTCCAAATCAATTCAGTATATGCAGTCTATACTTGGCTCCTAGAGATGCAGTGCAAGTGATTTATCAGCTGCAAATTTGTCTAAAAGTGCCATATAGCATGTTGGACATTACTTCTAGAAATGAAACTCAGGTGTCTGATATTTAAAGGCTAAAAATCACTAGCTTGAATTCCTTCATGAACTGTTTCCCCTTACATTAATGAAGGCAAATAGTTATTTAAACATTCATTATTCAAGCATCTATGAACCTTATTTCAGGAAAAGCCAAGTTTTCCGTGTGAGTAGTTTGACACCACCACCCCCTTTCTCCTCACACACAAATGTAAAGGCAAACACAGCCTATTCAGACACTGAACTTTAGCTGACTCTTTTTTTTTTTTTTTCCCTCCCAGTCATCATCCTCCAACTGCTTTGATGTTACAAGAGATTACATTGAGGTATGATTAGAAGGGATGCTGGAACTATGCCCACCTCTCCTCCCAGGATTTTTAAGAGAGATGTGAGTAGAACTTTTGACTTTGGCTAAAGATGAAAGACTAAAAATATGAAGTGTGGAAACAAGAAGAACTCACCACACTCTGTAATCAAGTAGAGCCCTCAAAATTTTCTTCTGTGCAGTATCTCACATTAGAACTGCCTCAAAGGAAACAAAATAGTTTATAAAAAGCACATTTTGTATCAGATGTCTAGAACTATTTTGCAAATAATCCAGATAGTGAATGTTTTTGTTCAGTTCTTCAACTGAGGTTAAATTTTTTTTTAAAGTTAAAATACCTGTTTATTCATAAAAATAGGGTTTGTACATTAGAATCTTAGTGCATGTTTTGCTACCAAGTATCTTATCCTAAAACAGCACTTGAAATACAGTACTGTGCAGTAGGATGGTATTCATTATTCCTGAGGAGTAAATAACTCATACCCTTCCAATATCATCCAGGAGCTGGAACAGAATCCTGTAAGCTGCAGGTCCCACGACCCCATCAAAAGTCTTTGCAGAAAGCAGCTGCTGTCTTAATCTTTACCCACACCTCATCTCTCACATTTCACAAAGTCAATAGGAAAAAAAAAACCTTCTCAATGTCTTTGCATGAGGAGATAATTTTAACTAAATATTGCAACAAGCAATAGAATTGCTGAACATACCATTAACTAGCAAATTATTAAGTGCAGCATTTAGGGAATTATTTTTAATAGATAGTAAAAGTGGTAAAATTAAACTTTCCTCAGTCTATCAGAAAATTATGTTTTATACAATTACTACATGATAAAACTAATTCTCACTAAGACCTGTTGAGTAAGCAGCATTAATCCTGCATTTTGACCATCAGCCAATGTAAAACTTTGCTCAGATTTAACATTTAATACTACTCTGGGACATGTGTTGGGAACAAAATACAAAAACAGTATCTAAATGTGATAATCTATTTTTAATTTGACACATTTTTTTTCCAGATCACCAAAAATGGTAGGATGTCAATAGAAAAAATCTGTTCTTCATGTTTTATGAGTGCTATGGATAAGTACAGAGCTGAACAAATTACTGCATAGGGTGCAGAGCAGTCATGCAGAAATTTTTCCATGATAGACAGAGATTTTCCTGTTTGATGCCTCAGCACACATCTTAGACAAAATTCCGTAAGGGTTTTCCCAAATAATTTCAAAGCAGTCCAGAGAGAATAGGGCTTGAACAAAGCTGAAACTATTCAGCTTTCTGAATATTATATGTAGCTCAACTGTTTATTTTCTGCATGATTCTGGTCCAGATCACAGGTACACATCACGTTACTCACCAGAATTTCAAGGGACTATGCAAAGTAGGGAAACCAAGACTAATTAAAGAACAAATGTGCTGCTCTTATTACCAAGCAAGTAATGTTTTAACTGTGGCTCACCAGAATATCCAGCATTTCTCATACCACAAGCAGTAAGAGAGGTTTTGAACAGGACTAGATGGCCTCTTGAAATCTTTTCCAACTCACTTAATATCATAAAAAATGTCATGTTCCAAATGTCATGTTGTTTAGTGGTGTTGGTATAGACCAGAAGTAATAAAACCAGTAAATAAAAAAAAATACTATTAGACTTTCCTATTTAGTAAGATTTGGCTTATGAATAATTTTCTTCCATATTCAGGTAAGCAATCTTTTCCAAATTTATGAATTTCAGAGTGCTGATATTTAGTCTATGTTCCGTGAGGAAAAAAACCCAACCTATAAAATTCCTAATATATTAGTGTTGTTTATCAAACTCAAAACGTGTTCTCTGAGTAGTTACACTGCTCACAGCAAAATACTTCTAAGTTTGTGCATTTCATTATCACAGTGAGAAATACCAAAACAATAGCATTTTGAAGAACTAAGACTGCTCCCTCACACTGATTGGCAGGGGCATTTCAATATAAAATTTTTGTGATTTCATCTGTAAATTAAGTAATCAAGATTTATTCCAGAAGCAAATAGGAAGCTATGAAAAATCTGGCAGTTACATAAACAGTCCTTTGTTCTTAAACAAATGAGAAGGAAACAAATATGTCAAGATTAAGAACGCATAATGAAAAATAAGTGTACTGGAAAAACAGCTGCTCCTGAAATGACTGATCACTTGTCTGAACTTTTGGCTGGGCAGATCTTGGAGTGCATGTTAGTGTGATTGGTCCTGACTGAATCAGCTGCAGTGAAAACTAGGCTTGCAATAAGAAAGATATATATTAAATTATTTACTGCTTGTCAGCCAGTATCCTCAGCTCCTTATACTGTTACTTCCCCCAAGGCTTGACTCTGCATATATGAAGGGAATGGGTATCCTGCTCTTGACTACAAGTGGAGAATGACTAGGTTCTGACCTTGATTTGCTTAAAGTATGAAAAAAATCCTCAGTTGTTTATCACAAACTGAAATCATGGTTAACATTGCATTGTTATTCTCATTAAAACCCTTGACCTTACTCACCAAGTAACTATAGCTACAGTTAAAAACTTTAAATTTGTTTTCAATAATAGCAGTGAAAATCCAGCCTGCCTTGAAACCAGGAAAGAGGTGTAGATCCTTACCTATGAAATTTCCAGGAGGAAGCTCTAGCAAGAAACATCTCTAGATGATCCAAAGGAGATGTCCCCTCCATTGTGCTGCATCTGAGCAGAGACTGAACATCTCAACAGCTGTGGCTCCTACAGCAAGCACTGACTTTGCTGCAAGACTTTTTCTTGGACAATTCATCATCAGTATTTCTCAGAATTAAGTTTTCTGAGAAAGACTATGTCAATTGGAATCATTATATATTTTTGGAATATTTTTTAGAGGGGAAAAATATATTCCTTCACATTCAATATACATTTGGCTTATTATGACTGCCTCTTCTGCAAGAATGGTATCTGTATCACAGAAAATCTTAAAACACCAGTCAAATGATTGTAGTTGCACTAAATTTCTGCAGGAACTTTGTCTCATAATTTTATTCTGAATTTTCATATGAAAAAAGTGGTGATATTTGTTTTCCTTCAAACTGTTTTTTGACCAGTGCTGGGCATCCAAATAAGAGAAAATTGCAATAAGTACACTTATATTACATAAGTACTGCTAATTTCAGTCTTGTCTGCTTCTGTGTTGTTTTTAAAGCTATAAGTGAAAGAATGCTTTGAATCAGGAATTCAGCAAACATCCATCTTGAAGCTGGGTGGTCCTGAACTAGCCCCTTAAAACTTTCTGCACAGTTTCATCAGGAAAGGTAGCAGGTGCCCAGGCAGAAATCTCTGCTGGATGTTGGTGAGAGTGTCTTCAAGAACAGTTGTGAATTAAATTCAGAATATGCTTCAGCCACCATGCTATATTCACAAAAGAAAGGATGAGCCTAACTTGTATTTTAAGGAAAAATTACATGAGCAACTAACTCCAGGAGGGAATTTAGTGCTGCAGATCCTGTGTAAGAGGATGCATCCCTGTAAACTGGAGGAAACAGTCTGAGGAATGGGATTTGAGATTTCCCCTCACTTCAGATTAGATATTGGCTGAGATTCCTTTTTAGCAATAGAGCTTTATAAATCTTTCTCTTCAAACCCACTATGAAGTTCCATAGTAATAAAAGATGGGTTCTGTATTCTAGGGGTAAAGTTCTTTAAAAACTAAATTTTATGGTGTCAAACTTTATTGAGTATAGCCTCTAATTACTTTTCCTTTTTATTACCAAATTAAAAAAACAAGTACAAATTATCAAGATATTTTCAGCACAGAAATAAAGCTGTATGTATTATTATTTAAATCAGCTAGAGCAGACTAAGACATACTCACTTTCTAAGGCCAGTCTTGGTTTCTTTAAATAAAAGGAAGACACAAGATGAGCAAAATATTTGTAACAAAAAATGTTTAAATAACAGTTTTGTAAAAGTTATTTAATCCCACAGGTGTACATTTTTTAATTAAAAACTTCTAAAATAAGATAGAAGTCCAACAATTTAAAAGATTTGACAGTGAAAATTCTGTGGCTGCTCCACCCTGTCCTAAATGTTAAAATGAACAGTAGCAGGAAGGCATGTGTGTTCTTAGAACAATTTCTTCTTGTTTACAATTGCAGTAGGCTAAAATGAGTCATCGTTCTGTACAAATAGAGAACTGTGTGCTCACAAAAAATGTTTTGGTACTATCAGAAAAGTTTCAGTAAATTAGAATGTCAGAATGATATATGCAATTTCTTTGAATATAAATTTGTAAGTCATGGTGCCAACAAGAATGAAAAGATATACAATTTCTGGGGATTCTTTTTCATACTGATAACCTAGAGAACAATATCTATTTTTATTTGCAACTGATCAAAGGGCAGGAATTATAAAACTTAAATTAGGATCATTGCAATATTTGTCCCTCAGGAATTTCTAAAATAGAACACATTCTAGGGTTGTAAAATTATATGCAGCATTTTAGAAAATGTTAAAAATTCTTATCACTAATAATTTTCCCTTATATACATAATAAATATGGAGTTTTTATGAAAGGTTCCTATATTAAAACATAAGTGGTAAAGATATAATTTTTAAAATTACCTGTACTAACCATAAGCTGACAGTTTTAGTCATAATTCAAAGGCAGTAGAATAAGACAAGCACTTTGTGCTTGAAAATAACTCAGAAATTAATTTTTAAGTGTAATTCTGCTCAAGTTACATTTTGACATAATGTCTATATAAATACTTTTATAGATTTATATATAAGATTTATGTATAAATCTTTTCTCAGTTTAAAAAAAATTGCTTTTCTCTTGCCTTTAAAAACTACCATATATTTCAGTAAGTTATCAAATCAGTTGGAGAATAATGCAAAAAATACATAAACACAAACTTTTATAAAGATCCATGAAGGATTGAATCTATTCTTCAGCCTCAGTGTTGAAACATAAGCTGACTTCAGTTGAAAAAAATGAGGTCAAGGGGTTTTAGACAAAGAATGAACCATGCTACTTGTCTAAAAATTCAGTGAAGTAGACAAAGAGGCTAAAATCTTTGTTTCAGGAATGAAAAATCAAACAGAAAGGAGACATATTCCTTCCTGTAAGTGTTCTCCATGAACAAACTACTAGAAAAGTAAATCCCATGTACTTTAGCAAATATTCCAGGAAAGAGTATTTGTGTTTTGTGGTAGAGGAGAACACCAGCATAGAAGAGGGCTTTTGACTTTCTTTGAAGGTCAAAAGGGACAGAGAAACAAGGACTTTTAAAGAACAATATCCTTTCACATCAAAATCAAATATCAAAACACACTGGAAAGTACAGAGACAAAAGCATTCACAGCGAGTTTGCCAGTCAATTCTCTATTGACCCAAAACTTTCCATAAAAATGAAGGATTTCCAGGTCTTTCCTGTCTCTCTTCTGTCTCCTTCTCTATTGTTCCTTTTGTGCTGACTTATTCTAACTTATATTTGAAATTAACAGCTCTTTCAAGGTGGGTTATTGGGATGGTTGGCCAAGTGATTGCATTGTATCCACACCATTCTCCTCATAAATTGATGTTTCTTCAAAGTAGAATGCATATCTATGATACAATGAGGTGCACATCTCATTTTAAAATTTTGTTTAAAATTCTGTATATTTTCTCATATTTAGTCTGCAAAATCCCAAGGAATTTTTCTGTGTGGAACAGAAATCAAAGCGATGATAAAGTCTTTTTTACGACATTTGCTTCAGAAAGTCATAAACACTTGTTAAACTTGGCTGGTTTTGCACATTAACTCACATGGGATTTCATTTGGATTCCATGTAGCCAAAACAGATGTGTTTTAATAGCAGTGAAAGTTGATTATAATTTGTTTTCTTGAACAAGCAGCTTTCATTGATGTTTTGTAGTTCAAATAAACTCTAGTGACTTGCCTCAGAAAGTCTGAACACCTCTTTTGAGGCTAAAGTTGTAGAAAGCGCTCTGAAACAATCTTTAATGTGATTTTTCAAGCACTGACAGGTCAAAGTGACTGAAGGGGACTTTCTATGGAGAAGTCAATGAGTCTTTTCCCTTTCTGCTCTCATTTACAGTCTGCCTGAAATTCTAGGAATCTTACCTGTCCATCTACTGCTTTTTCTGTAAGACAGCCCCTATTGCTACAATCAGCATGGGTTTTATAAATCCCTTTCATAATGAGATGTGTTGTGAAGTAGCAGAAATTTTTATTGTACTTAATTAACTTCACTGCCAAGTCCATGGGGAAAAGACAGGAAACACAGGGAAAGAGCCAAAACTTCTGACCCCATTCAATTTCTTAAAATTTCGTATTCTACACAAGTTTTATGGGAATATTAGTATTTCTACTCATTAAATGAATCTTAGTGAAAATATGAGGCTCTGATAACTGTTCATTCATTCTTTCCACTAAAATTTTCATTTCCCTAATTTGTACCTGCATGTGGGTTCAGATACAGTGAGAAATGCTAGTGTAAGTAAAAAATGGAGATTAGATTAATAAAGATGGAATTTAAAAAATAAAAATAAAATAAAATAACATTATTATATTCACTATTTATTTTTTTTTATTATTATTCTGGCAGGTATACTTCATTCTGATACACATGTAGGACACAACACAAGCCAAAAAAGTCTCTACTCTACAAGCTCTACTTCATAGTGGGATCTTATTTCTCTGTTCTGCTACAAATTTTCACTATACTTGAAAAACATTCTATATTCTTAAAGGCTTCTGCACCTATTGGAAACCTTTAAATGTATCAGAGTTCAAATGTTACTTGGAGAAATACAGGAAAAAGGACTTTTCCCTCACTGTGATGCAGCACTAGGGCTTTGAGTTCTCTTTTCTAAGCTACAAAATTATCCATTAAAATACACATTATAAAAGTATTATTTGTGTGTAGAATCAAGCACCTAACAATTAGGAACTGTTTTAATTTTCATTGTTCTTGACTGCATTATGATACAGCCTTTAACTATTACTACTACTATTGCTACTAGTCTTTTCTTCAAGCTCATTCTATCCTGAATCACACTTACAAACTCCTGTGCAATGCTGAGAAATCAATTAAACTGAGCATTTCACAGACTGCCAGTAGAGCATGTTCTAAATAACAAACATTACTTTATTGGAAGTCATGTCTAAACATATGAAATGTTTAATGCCAAATTCAGTGAAGAAATCATACCATGACCCATAGTAGCTCATGGAATTCAGTCTTGGCTTCCTTTTGCTGGCAAAACTGGCAGCCAGGGTCTGAAAAGTGATTTACTTACACACTAATTGTTATTTTGAATTCAGATCACATGCAGTCCTTCAAATCTGTGTCTCCCCTTCACTAAGCAAGGTAATAATCACTCCTTTTGCAGAGTTGTGGTGTAAATGAGTAATATCTGTACACTTCTGAGATAGTATTGAAAGATGGAATAAAAAGGTGGATGAGGGGATTAATCATTTTCTCTGAAAAGCAAAATTTGAATACTGCAAAATGTGTGTGGTGCTGGACTGTTTTATTGTCAGTTATTGAGGATTATTGATTTTATCAAGGGGTTTTATCAAGGCCTTTAACAAAATGGGCACTGTTTTAAACTATGCTTCACAGAAGTTTTCTGTAAAAATTCTCTTAAAAACTTGTTTCAGAGACTGAGATCATGGAATGGTGGTTTTGTGAGCAGCTGCAAACTTATCTTTGGCAT